GCAAACGCTCCCCACATGTTCTAGTAAATGTAGGATCTTTCTTTGACGCTGGCCAGAGTTGGCTTCCTGGTAAGCTTTACCCCTATCTCTTAGTCAAAGAACTCCACCTCCACCCTTGCCAGTGTGTTGCTTGAACTGCTTCAGTCTCTCTGATAGATGTTGTTGAAACGGTATGTACGCTGAGTTGCAGAAAAATGATTTGTCCACTTCGATAAAATATTGGACTGCACATCTGGTAAGGATTGGCTATTTACTGATGAGCTACAGCACACAGTATAAGGACTGGCGTCCTGCAGGGTGAAGCCCCAAGTTCAGTCGAGTGGTATAGGGGAGACCTGTAATCTGGCTTCCCCCTGTCTCTCAGCTTTCCTCATCTCACATTTAAATCTTTAGGAATGCTAAATTCATTGCATATCCTTGAATAATTAGGATGTGCCATTTCTTTGCTCCTTGGCTTTGCTTATGCTATTTATTCTGCCTGGAATGGCTTTCTCTTTTTGCCCTTGGCTACCTCCTACTCATCCTTGATGGCTTAGTTCAGGCATCCTCCTCCTTTGGGTTGGTTAAGTCTATTTGCTCGTGTGTGCACTTACACAGCACATTCTCCAAATTCCCTCCTATGATCTCCTGGACCAGAGAGAGAATGGAGAGAATGTCTTAATCGCTTTTCTATCTGCAGATAGATAAAAGTTCAGATAAGTTTTTTGTTGAATAGTATTTAAGCCACTCAATTTTGGTTATTTCAAGCATAATGATAAGAATTAGAAGAGGCTGGTAATGATTCTGTGGGAAGTGGTTTAAAGAAAAAAATTTGTGGGATTAATAGAAAACCTATAATAATGCATATTTCTAAATCAGGGTGACATTAGAGAGATGATTAACATAAAATATCCCTTTGGGTAGCTTTTAAAAGAATTGCCTCTTTGAGAAGGAACCAGGGCAGGATATTCAAAACAATCCCATCTAGAAACAGACCAAAGTTAGCTTTTGTGAGTTCTTCAAGCCAGCCAAGCAGAAGACAAGGTGCCTGCCACCACTTTTTCCTTTTGATTTGTGGTTCCTATGGCAATATGAAGAGAGCCTAGGACATTTCTCGCCTACCTCTTCTAATAACTTTTTGCTTTTGAAAAATGTCAAAAGCTATTATTATTCTTGCCTGCGCTGACTTACGGTGTTTCTCAGCATGGTGGCCCTGATTTGGGTTTGTGATTGTACAGTGGATATGATAAAATTAATGAATACTGCCAGTTTCATTGACTGATGTTATTTTCTTTGGCTGTAGAGCCTACACATATAATCAGTCCAGTCGGGTGTTTGCTAATATTAAGACCCCATCTGAACTATTTCCTGTTCTCTGTGAACAGTCGTAAATCAGATTACTGGTCATTACAAGTAGCTAAATGTGACATTATAACAAATATCTATTGGGGGTTTTCTACCCCTGAAAGGCCTCCCTTATGTATCCCCATTGTGATCTCCCTAGTTTCTCTTGAGCTGGAGGCTGAAGTCTCAAAAGGAAAGAGGTCTAGTTTATATTGTTAGCTTAGTAAGTAGGTCAATAAGTATTTGTTAAAATTGGTAAATATCCAAGGTATCAGGGTAAGTTCTTTGGACATATTTAACGAGATAGTGTTCTAGAAGTTTAAAGATAGATGACTCTTAGCTTAAAGGGAGAGAGGAAGAGAGATAGAGAGGAAAATAGAGACAGCAGCCTGCACTGTGACTATAGCCAATATGATGAAATCTACATTACTCAGTTAAAGAATGATGGATAATAGTTATTCCACAGTAGTAACATGGGTTTCCAACTAGGTCCCTGCATTTAAAATTCAAGGATCGATTACTCTATTTTAATGCTCTTAGGTTGATAAATGTGGAACTTTTATTTTTATCCATTATTTTCAAATCAAATCAACGTCCTCTTGGTCCATTGGATCTGAGGGAAACCTTGTTTACACTAGCAGGATAGACTTCCTTATTAAAGGATGGGTGTATTTCCTCAAGGGGCGTTTTTCGGTTGAGTAAAGACTATTTTTCAGCATTGTGTTTGATCACTTAGCTTCAAGGTAATGGAGTGTGAAAGCAGGGTGGTCCTATACCTTTTATAAGTACTGGCATCACTCTATATCCCACAGTATCTTTCATGGATATTACAAAGACAAATTCTTGAAAATTAAACCCTCAAAGGGTCCTTTAAAAATCTTTTCCTGAATATACAAGTTCAGTATCAAGCTTTTAAAAACTTATAATAAACAGTTAATATTTTGAAATTAAACTCTTAGAACTTTGTTAAGTTCTCAAAAATTTTTTTATGTTAGTTTCTCTATTTTGGTAAGTATCGATTAGATTGATAGGTTGTTAGAAAACCATGGGAGATCATCCTTTTTCTTCTTTGGGCAATAGTGTCTTCATGTCTAAAAGCAGCCGTGGAAGTTTGCACTAAATGGTCTTCCAGTTTTAACAGTCTGTGATTCTTTGATTTATTGAATGTGAAAATTTTTTTCTTTCTTTTTTAAGCTTTGGACCCCAAGTGATTAGCAGAATCTAATAAGGGTACAATTCCTTATAAGGCCTTCATGTTTTTTACCCTTTGAGGCAAATAAATAAATATTAAACCTTGCAGAGGGAACCTGTTTTTACTGAATAATTGAAAAGTGATTTGCAGGTGAGCTTTGGTGTTAATTTGGTATTAGTTGCTAATGCAAGTGTAATCCTTAAAACTCTTTTCTCACGTCAGAATAATTCTATGATGTGGATAACTACAGATTCCAAAAAAGAAATTTCAATTTTTTGAACTTGTATGTTGGGAGTTTACTTAAATAGCCTGTGTAATCTATGCGCACATATGTGCTGTGTCTGGGCCTTTTCTCTGTCCATCTACTTCTGATAACATGCTGATGTGTTTTAATAAGCATTTGCTGGATGTCTCTGGATAGAGTTTGCTGTAGTGGCAAGTTTGCTTAGAGTCAGATAGGATTAGCTTGAGTCCTAATTCTGCCCTTGATTGGCCCTTGTGCTCTTGCACCTGGGACGAGTTGCTGTTTCAACAAATCCAGCTCTCCTTTCCGACCCTCGGCTTCCTCATCTGTAAAATGGAAATAGTACTTACCTTACCAGGGTCTTGTGAGGGTTTACTGTGTCTGCTGCCTCGCATACAAAAGAACGCGATCAACCGCAGCTGCTTTCATTCTATTATACAAACATTTATGCAGCATCTTTTGTGGCACTTTGAGAGTGTTGGGGGTGATAAAATACGTGTGCCCAGAGTGTCATTGATACACTTAACGCTGTATTGACTATGGTGAGCTTTGGAATAAAGGCACACATGGGAAATGATGTATGACCTTTTCATTGTTACCAAAAAGTGGCTTGGTTTTTTTATTCCATTGGAGTCCTCTGGTTTTTATCCTTTAACCCCTTTTCTAAATAATCTTAGTACTCTAGTTACATTATAGGTGGGATGTAACTAGTAAGTGGCAGGTGCTGGATAGGAACTCCTGTCTATCTGATTTCAAGCAAAGCAGTCTTTGTTTCTAGCACAGTTGGGGTGACCATAGAATTTACCTACCAAACCAGAACACTTGAGAGGGAAAATTATGCTGGGACAAGTGTAAACCTGGACTGTCCCAAGAAAATGAGGATGTTTGAGCATCCTAATTATAGCTAGGATAAACAAATTTATGAGTTTGGATCGAAGGCTTCTGGAGTATTTTGGTTAAACCCAAACACCCACCTTCAGTTTTTTTTTTTCATGATTATTAATTTTGCCATAGTAAATTAATTGACCTTAGATCTGAAAAAGTACTTATTGAATACCATAAATAATCGAATGGTTTTAAAATACTAGCCATATGCATATGTTTATATTTATATTTTCTCTTTTTTCTTAATTCCCTGAAAAAACCAGCAAGCTTTTTAAAGAGAATGGGCATAGGTAAATTAAATAAGCCTTTAATTCTTGCTTGTGTCAAATGCACTTTGTAAACAAAGTCCAAATTGAAAACTCGGATGTTCTTAAGTTTTTTTCTTTGGGAAGGTAGAGATGTGGATGACACTGAAAATCAGATGTGTTTTTAATCAGCTCTTTTATTTCCTGTATCTATCAATCTATCTTTCTTGTTCCTTTTGCCTTGTGTCTCTAGGTCCCCTGTGATTTTATTTAGGGAAGTGCAAAACTGTACCCACGTAATTAAAATTCAGGTGATCAAAGTTTTTACATTAGAGGCATCATAGTCTTATGGAATGTATGTGGGGTTTTTTTTGTTTGTTTGTTTTGTCTTTTAATTTTATTGGGGAAACAGCTATGGTCATTGGTTACACATTGCTTTCATGCTACAATAGCATAGTTGACTCTTTTAGGGAGGACTTAACTCACGGTGGCCCATGTGGGGATCGAACCAGCAACCTTGGTGTTATCAGCACCATGCACTAACCAACCGAGCTAACGAGTCACCCCCTGTATGTGGGTTTTAATAGATAAACCATGGTTTGGAATTCTGGCTCTCCCCTCTGCTGTGTATCCTTGCAAATGACTGAACCTCTGAACCTCAGTTTCCTTACACTGTGGTGTGGGAATTAGAGAACACATTTAAAGTGACTGGCACGCAGTTGGTGATGTATTGATGGCAATTATAATTATACGACACAGACCAGAAACTGCTACTTTTGTGAAGCTCCAGCCACAATCTCACCATTAATCTTGTTTTGCACTCAAACTTTCCCAGTTCCCTTTGGTGGGGTTTTAATCATTCTCTCTGTCCCTCTTGATTCTGTTCACTGTATCCAGAGGAATTAGTGATTGGCAGCAGAAACCTTTTAATAGGACAGAAAGTGGGCCCTTTCCCAAGGTTTCAGCAAGTGGTCTGCGACCACCACCCCTGACCTCCAAACTGCCGAGGGTGCTCCCCTGCCCGACTAACATTCAAGTTGCCTGTGTGAAGGAGTGATTTGTTGCGGCCTCTAACTGCTTCTTCTCTTCCTTCCTTTTTGTCATCCTGCAGTGTTCTGTGCCAAGGTCTTTGTGGCTAGGCTGCGCCAACCTGGTAGAGAGCATGTGCGCACTGAGTTGCCTGCAGAGCATGCCCAGTGTCAGATGTCTCCAGGTGCCTCTCTTCTTTCTTGTTGTAAATGTGTTTTTTACGTATGCCATGAACATTTGTTGAAACTTACAGTAGTGTGTTTAATCCAATGTTAAGTCTGCTAAATGTTCTGTGTAACCCTCTGCTTTCCTCCAGCCTGGGTGCCCACACGGCGGAGTTTAGTACCAAGAGGGCCCCTTCTGAGCAAATGGGTCTTCGGCTGGGCCCTGTTCTGCTCCTCTTTTTCTGCTCCTGCTTTTTATTCTTTCCCCCCTACCTTGAAGTTGTGATTCTCATGTTTAACAGTTGTGCATGTGCCCTCAAAACCTTGATGTTTTCCATTTGGCTACTTTTAACAGTTCTTTGTTGAGTTGGGAGGGTTTTATAATTAAACTGGTGGTTTTTCTATATTTTGAAACTCATCTTTTTGGCTTGCTTTCTCTCCCTCCTTCCAAACGGGAGTGGGGAGAGAATCACTAATGGAATAAAGCCTCAAATTGAAGTTTATAAAGATCACAGCTTTATGCTGCCAGTGACTTGTCAGTTTGGACCACTTCCCAAAGGCCAGATCTGACACCTGTCCTCTGGGTCCACCCAGTTTTCCAGGCCGAGGCCGGCAGAGAATTCCACAGATAAAAGTAAAACTTTCGGGGGGGGAGGAGGGTGGGGAAGGGTTGCTCAGGGAAAAAAAAAATCTGTTAGCAGGAGTGCAGCTGGACTGATCTCGCTTACTGGGACAGAGTCTAAGACTGCCAACACAGAAAACATTGTGGCTTTATTGGGGAAGCTCTGTTTAGAGAAAGCATGTATTTAATTAAGTATGGTTTCAGTGGCAGCATTCAGTTTTCATCACTGCATATTCCAGACAGTTTGATATATCTTTAAAAAGCGTTATTAAATTCCCGGCATCCTGTTGAGACTGTCGTGTTTTAGGGAAACACTATAAAAATCAGGAAATGAGTTAGAGGGATATTGATGACACGGGTGACTTGACTGTTCTCAAGGTTATCGTTCTATTCATGTTACGGTCCTTAAATGGAGGTGGGGAGCCAGGAAGGAGGAAAATTTCCTTCTTATTGGAATTGTGCATTTTATTTACTTGTTGGCAAACATTCTGAGTAGCATCGGTGTGGTTATTGATTCAGATTACTTTCTTTAGAAAACTGTGCTTGAATGCCACTAACACAGTTAACTAGAGAATGAATTCAGTATATTCAGTTGTCTTAGAGTCCATATAAAAAGGTGGGTTATAACTCTTAGGTTGCAGGGATTGGGTGTTTCAGTGAGGCTCCGATGTAATGAATACTTATCTTTGGGAAAGCAGCTTCTCTGTATGTGATGTAACTTGAACAAAAATGGCCTTGAAGTGGCTGGTATTATTGCATGTGCTCTCCTTGGTACTAAATAATGGATATTTGCATATAGTAACAGTGCACATCTTTGTCTCTTTTTCTGGAAACGCTTACTTGGATGTTACAGCTGCTTTTTAGTGGGCTCATCCAGCTTTCCCCAGAATTTAAGCTGGGGAAGAATTGTAGTTGTTAATGAGGTCTGGAAGTGCAGATTCTTTTTATTGCATTCAGTTAACAATAATTGACCAACGGAAGGCATCATTCCACATATTTTTGTGACAGTATTGTGAATGCTTCAGGTGGGGTGAGTGGGAGGAAGTGTGGACTTCTACCTATCTGAAAATGGAAACCCAAATGTGTTGAAGGTTCGTTTTTGACTCATCTCTCCCAGTGAAAATAATTTAAGAGAAAAAATAGAAACTTTGCCTTGATTGGACCTTGAAATAAGGTGAAATATTGAATGATATTCACTGGCATGTGAATGGAGCAAATGTTTCTCAAGGTGTATAGGGGATTTTGTTTACTTAGGTTTTCATTTTCTTGTGTATAAATGAGAACATACAGCACAGTCAAGTGAAATATGTACTCAGCAGATTGGAACGAACATATCATTACTGCTTTGTTCCATTTGTGAGTGGAAAATAAACATGTACTAATGAACCCTCTTTTCTTGTTGGTTTTACATATTATTTTAATACCAGCGTTCCTCTTTTCTACCTCCAGCCTCCAACCTGTGCTAAAATATAATGACTTAATTTGGGGTTGAGCTTTCAAAGAATGCCTGTTGGGTATATGCTACCTCTTCGGTTTATCCCAAAGATGACTCTTGCTTGATATTGCATACCTCTCAGAGCAAGCCCTTTTTAAGCAGGCCCTTGAGAACAAGGACAGGCTATCTGAAGAGCCTGGCTGGCTTTGCTTGGGCTCCTGAGTTGCAGGAAAGGGTCCCCTTAAAACAATCACATTGGACCCATGGGCAGTTGCAGCCTTAGCCAGTTAGCCTCTCTATATGGCTGAATTAACGCATTTTTCTGAAAAGCAGGAGTAAAGGTATAGATGCCTTTAGGCGTAATGCAGACCCTCTAGTTGTGACCATCTGTGAGAAGGGAAAAGCCTTCAAAAGTAAGAATCATTTACTTCAATAAAACTGTTAAAAAAATTAAAATCACTCACCACCAGCTGTACTTGGTGCTTCACATATATGTTAGTTTTGTGATGATTGTGTGAGGTGGGTGTTCTTACCCATTTTTCAGATGTGGAAACTGAGTCTCTCAGAGATGATTAATATTTACATAGCTGTGAAGTGGTATGATTGGCATTGGAAACCAAAATTTGCCTGATTCCAAAATTGGTTTTCTTTCCTTTACACCGAAATACTACTGTTTCTAGAGCTTTCCATCTTAGTTTTGTTTGTGAAACCTTTTAATATCTGGTGTATAGCTTGTGTAGTCATTATTTATTGAAAATAAAAAAAGAAATACCTGCCAAATATCTATAGGGGGAAAATTGCAGTCCTTTTGCCAAAATGAGCCCTCTGACTCTTAAAGCCAGTGAGATTCCTTGAATGGCTTTTCTGCAGGTTTAATTCCATGATGATTTACTGAGCACTTGGTATGTGCCAGGCCTGTACTGGTGCTGGGCATGTAAAGGTGAACAATACAGACTTGTTCCTGCGCTCA